GCTGAAGATCAGAGGTCAGAGAATAGCTCAGCAGGGCAGCTAGGAATGGAACCCAGATTGGCTTGACTTGAAGGTCTATTTTGCTTACCCCAGACATAGTTCCACAGCATCAAAAGGATACTGCTTTCTTGCTGGAGCTTTCTCCTTAGAGAAGGGATAACAGGTGTGTGTGTGTGTGTGTGTGTGTGTGTGTGTGTGTGTGTGTGTGTAAGCATTGTCAGTAATGCTCCAGGCTTCCCATGGGTTTTGCACAACATTATGATAAACTTCATAACGCCAAATTTTAGTTCCCTGACTACACAAGTTGGAATAACTGAGGCACACAGGCCATTTGCAGAAACATGTTTAAATGATATCAACATAATATAGCTAAAAAGGAGAAACACAGCCAGGTAGTTCTATAATCTTAGCATTTGGGAGATGGACATGGGAGGTTCTGGAGTTCAAGGTCGGCCTTGGCTACATAGTAAGTACAAGGGAAGCCTGGATACATGAAACATTTTCTCAAAAAAGCAAACAAAACATTTTAGTGTGGTCGTGTGTGTTTGTGTGTTTGTGTGTGTGTGTGTATGTGTGTGTGTGTGTGTATGTGTGTATGTGAGAGAGAGGGAAAGAGAGAGAGAGAGAATCTATGAATCTTCATCTGTATACTAAGCTTCTCAAATTTGGAACTACCTGGATCATTTGCTGAACCTTTTCATATTTGTATTAAGGCTCAATGCTTTATAGATATATAGCTATTGTCTTATGTTTTTATTTATTTATTTATTTATTTTATTTTCCAGTTTGAATTTGGCTTTTGGGAAAGGCTAGGTGGCTCTACTCCATCCTTTCTAATCTCATTGGTCAAGTTGATTGCATTTGTGGCCTCTCTTCAAAAGGTGACTTACAGTGAATGAGAGCAATTTTGTAAATTAATATCATCATTGAAAATAAGCTGGCCTCCTTGTATACCTCTTTTTACTTGTTATTTGAGGCTGCCTGGTTGGACTGCTCAGACAGCAAGCAGTTTTGGCATGGACCTAGGGCTCAGGGGAATATTAACTTACAAGACTTTCCCTATTTTGCTTTTACATGTCTGAAACTATTTCAAAACTTAGTGGCTGAAATACAAGTTATTAAATACATGTGACCAGACTATAAGAAATGTTTTCTGCTCTCTGTGTCCTCTTTGAAGAAATGATAGATGGGAAATGAACTGGTGTGCATGTCATAATTACACCTGATTGCATTATAATCAAGATTCTAAAGGGGTGGTTAACTAAGAGGTAAGGTAATAGCACCTATGGTAGGTTCTATATGTAATTTAAGTGCCATGTTTGGGATTAGAAAAATTCTTTCATTAAACTTCAAGAGTTCTTGATGAATGGAGATGTTGAGTGTAAGATGTAAAGGGGAATGGAATCTTTGGTTTTCTGACCACCCAGTCCAACTTTCATCCTTGTACCCTTCTCTCATCCTGGGCTGTCTCAGGAATTAGGGGTCAAATTGGGGAGGGGGTGTGAGCCTCTGAAACCAGGGTGTGAATTTTTCTCACCCTGTATGCTCACCATTCAGTGTAAACAGTCTGTCCCTCTCCCTGTGTGTTCCTCTGTGGCTGCAAGGGCAGACACTGCCTGGGTATGGTGACAGGGATGCTGAAGAGTGTCTGCCAGTCTCCGGCAGCTGGAAAAGGTTTGAGCCCCTTTGGCAGATGTTTGTTGTTCCAGCCACTTCATTAACTTTGGAAACAAAACCCCTGACTATTTTGAACAAAGTTCCACTCTGTGATTGACAGCTGGGGTATGCATCCTCCATGGAAATGCATTACAGTCTGAGAATGGCTGAAAGGGTCTGGGAAGGAGCTTGAAGGGGGCGGGGAAGAAAAGGAAAGAAGGAGAAATTGGGCTGCATGCCATTGCTCAAAACTCAAAGTGAACAAGGAAAGTAGAAACTCATTTAAAGAGAAAGACAGATTTAGTACAGCTAATTAAGACTTGACATCCCGTCGAACACATTATATAAGTCTGCTTCTAGAGTTTTCATACAATCACTTATTCAGGACACATTTACCGAGAGAGCATTGCTAGGTGCTATGTGGATATTGATGGTAGGAGATGAATAATGCTGAACAAAGCGTTGACCACCAGGGATGAATTGTTCAGTGGGGGGAAAACATGCAAGGGACAACACAGTGAAGGAAATGCTAGCACAGCATAGAGGCAGTAACAGCAAGGGACAGCCTGGGAACAAGAAAGGGCTTCTCAGAGGGAGGTTGTATTTGAGATGGGTCTCTAGTTTTTCTGGCAGAGAAGGAGGGAGGGGAGAGGTGGCAGGGCATTCCAATTAAAGGCAAGGCTTGTAAAAGGCCAACCTTGTGAAATAGAAATTAGGATTAGCATTTGGAAATGAAAAGCCAATGCCAGTTTAGGAAATGAATGCCAGAGCACCAAAACTCCAGATTCCAAGATCCAGAACCACTCCCTCCAGTGGAAATTCTTTCCTACAGATTCCTCAGCTTTCTGGCCTTCCTAGTAGAAAGTTGGAACAAAAACAAAACAAAACAAAAAACCAACCAACCAACCAACAACAACAACAAATCTAAGGCACTGATGGAGGGTGCTCTACTTCTTCATCTATCAAAGTTCAGTAGAGTTCAAACCAAATTTACATAAGGGCATAAGTGAATTTTGTGCTTGCAGCTGTGTGGAAGTAGGGAGTAAGAGGGCTTAGAGAAGATGGCCTTGTGGATATATGTCAGGAGGCCAGTCCAAGGGCTTATTCCTGCGGGCTGGGCTAGAGGTTCAAAGCCCTGTGTCTGCCAATGAGTTTCCCCCGACACGGGGTACACAAATATCACTCCTGACCCGAGTTTTGGAAACAGAGAATGTGGAGAAGAAAGAAAAAGAAACAAGGATGCACTAAGGTGGAGAACAGAACGAAGGGCAGAAGCAAGGAAAGAGAAGAGGGAGGCTAAACCGAGAGGCTCCAAATGCGAGGACCAGTGAGGGAAAAGGAGAAATGGGGGGGGGCGGGGGTTAGTGGGAGAAGGAGTGAAAAGAGCAAAGAAAAAGGTTGAAGAAAGGGAGTGCAGTACATGGACAGGGTTCTCCCAGAGCAACCCAGAGCTCCAGCTTTCCGTATGAGCCTGTGACTGTAGCGGAGGCTGCTAGCCTAAGCGCCTCAGCGTTCTCATGCTATGTCCTTGAGGCCACTTCGGTACCGGGCTCCAGGCTGTAAGCCCGCCTTGCTGTCGCCTAGGTTAGACGAGGATCACACCAAGCATTCAGCTTCTCTGCGGCCGCAGAGACACTGTAGTGAGACACTGTAGTGGGGGTGAAGAGAGCTCCCCAGGATTGCCCTGGCAGCCAGCGTTGCATCCCGGTCCCTGGCCCATCTCCTCTCTCAGCGGGCCGCGGCGACGGTGGCAGGGCACAGACAGATCAGGGACAGGTCTTAGGCCCTCGATCCCCCACAACAGATAAGCCACAGGGTCTTCTAGGGATGAAAGCAAGAAACGCGCCGCCACCGGGTTTCCTAGCTGCTGTTCTACTGGGCTGCCTGCGCCTGGAGAAGAAATAAAAGCAATTCCAAATGGCGAGGAAGGAAGCGGAATCAGACGGACACAGCCGCGTGGGGAATAAAGATCGTCACCACCGGCTGCGGGCCATAGCAAACGCTTGATTATGATTCCGTCTATTACTGTCTATTTTCCTTAAGTGCTTAATCATTAGTTCAACAAGTTTGTCCCTTCCCGGGGTGAAACACCGGCCGAGGTGCGCGTCCCGACTTGCTTCTGTAGCTAGTCACGCTCGTAGCGCGCAACCCGGCAGAACACCCCAGAGACTCATGATCACCCCCAGGGTACGAGCATCCAGGAGGAATCACCAGCTGTTCGTGTCCAAAATTCTGTGTTCCCACTGTCGGTTTCCTTCCCAGCTCTCTTACACCGCTTTAGGGACACACTCTTGGGGCCAACAGTGCACCAGGAGGTCGCTTTCCAGGGCGGCGGTGCGCTGTTGCCGACAGACAGTAGGAGCTGTCCCAGGCGCACAAGTGCCGGACCGGTCGGTCCCTCTCATGCAAAGATTGTGGTTGAAAACAAAATTTCGTACAGACATTGATAGGGACAGACTCTGAGACCAAGACGCTAAGGAAAAAGAGGCAAACAATCTCCAAACACTTGAAGTCTGTCATTTCTGGGAATGAAAGCCGGGATCTGGCACTAGGAAAAGCCAGAATTTGGGCTGACTATAGAAGGGCCGTAGACACGTCGTGATCCCTCTGTTTTGGTACTTTCCAGCCAAGCAAACCGTTTTATGACCAGAATATAAACACACACAAATGCACATTATTTCCCCGATTTAATATTGGGGGGTAACTGACTATTCTAAAGTCATTTGTAGTTTGGGATTGTGAGGCAATCAAGTTTACAACCTCGGTGCAAACGCCCCACGCCGGGAGTGCACGGGTGCATCGTGGGCTTGGGAGCTGCGGGCTGAGAAGGGGACGTCACGGTCCCGGGAAATGGCCCACGCGGGGACAAGAGAGGCACAGTGGTGCTCTGGGGCCCGGATCCTCGGGAGTCTGGACGAATGATTCTACTACTTTGTGGCAAAAGACGCAGACCTAGCTACCTGCACGGCTGCGGAGGCTGGGAGCGGCGGCCTTTTGGCAGGACAGAGTACTATGCAGCTCGGAAGAGCGGCGGCGGGACGGCTGGGAGGCAGGAGGAGGAGGCGCGCACCGGCCGGACTGCGCGTGCACAAACACACGCGCGCGCGCGCGCACCCCAGTACACACACCTGGAGCTTGGGGGAGGGGGAGAGTAGAGCCGTAGCGAGTGTCTTAAAATAGAGAGCCATCGTGGGGAGCGCTCGCTTCGGACCGGCGGGAGGCCGGGATCTAGAGCAGCTCGACCGTGGGTGAGCAAGTCAGAGCCCGGGCTGCACGGACGCGCAGGGGCGGGGTGGCGGCCGACGCCCCTCGGCTCGCGCTCCGCACCTGGCCCTGCAGGAAGTGCGCGCTGATTGACAGCTGCGGTGTCCCAAAAAGGCTGTAGTCAAAGATGCTGTTCAGCGGGTGGGTGTAGACGCTGCAGGCGCGCCCGTGCCCGCTCAGGTCCGTCCGCGCGCCTCCCCGGCCCCGCCGCCCCTCTGGCTGCGGAAGAGCGGGGCTCAGGCCCCAGCCCGAGTGCCAACCCCCGCGCTCCCGGACGAGCCGGCGCTCGCAGCACTCAGGTCGCCAGGCTCTAGTCCCGGCTCACCATGCACTGCCACGCGGAACTGAGGCTGAGCTCACCCGGCCAGCTCAAAGCAGCCAGGCGGCGCTACAAGACTTTCATGATCGATGAGATACTCTCCAAGGAGACCTGCGACTACTTTGAGAAACTTTCCCTCTACTCTGTGTGCCCTTCGCTGGTGGTGCGACCCAAGCCCCTGCACTCTTGTACGGGTAAGGCAATCGCTGGGAGATAGTGGGCTGTGGTACTTTAGCCCGTGTGCGGTCGCCTCTGCTTTCCAATCCGAGAGCGTGAGGGACCAAACGATTCTTTTTCTGCGTCCTTGCGAGGAAAACGGACTAGCTAGCGGCGGACATTCAAAAGCGAAGCGTTTACAACCCGCCGGGGCAGGTACCGCTCCCTGGATGGGTGATAAGTTAAGACCAAGCGGCCCTTGGAGTGGGACTCCTCTGTAGCGCCCGCCCTGTCTTGCTTCTTGGAGAAAACCCCCTCCTTCTTGGCGCTATGGAGTTCCAATGAGAAACTTCAAAACACTTGACCAGATTCAGTGCCTAGGTGACTTCGCGCAGTGAGTTTGTCTGTTTCAACTTGAGCCTGGTGGTCTTACCCATAACGCTCTACTTGTTACATCTCCTTTGTAATTTTACAAGTAAACCGGTTTCCTGGGCTTCAAAACAAACCATTGAATTCACCGAACTGTATTTAAAATGACTCTCTCTCTCTCTCTCTCTCTCTCTCTCTCTCTCTCTCTCTCTCTCTCTCTCTCTCTCTCTCTGTGTGTGTGTGTGTGTGTGTGTCTGTCTGTCTCTCTCTCTGGAGGTAGTTTTGGACTATGCTGCCTTTTGACACAAGCAGAGGATCAACCTTGTTTGTTTTAAGTGACTAAAACCAACACCAGTAACAGTAAAGCATCCCTCCAACCTGGCTTCCTCTTTCCACCAGTAAGAAAATGATCGAATTTAGTAATAATACTGAAAGAGTAGCTGTGCAGGAAAGCCATCCAAAGATGTCTAAAACACATTTGATCGCCATGAGAGAAGCTCCGGGTTCCAAAGTTCCCTGGTGTGGTGGGGACTCAGGCTACAAAAAAAAAAAAAAAAAAAAAAAAAAAAAAGAGTTGAAGACAATTTTTTTTTCCAAAGAAGTTCTTGACCATACTTCTCATTAAAAGCAAACATGTAGGGGAGCCTTTAGCGTCTTTAGCCTTATACTTGTTGTATAGCTTCCATGAAGCAAGTTTATGAAATTATATTTTGAAAAATGGAAACATGTGCTAGCAGTGGTTCATGACTACTTATTATGAGAACGATTTGGAATGAAAAGCTACTAAGTATAATGCACAGAATCCTATTTCTCCCTTGCTTCTATTGACGGTCCTGCTAAACCTATCACTAAATCTACCTTGGTAATAAATATACCAAGGACTTTGCAAAAGCAAGATATTCCTACATTTGTTTGGCTATCCAATGAATATTACATGTCTTGTCAGCAAGGTGGAATTACATCTGATATCCCATAACAAACTTACAAAGAAGGAGCTAAATAAGATACATAAAGGAGATTTTAGAAACACAAGAGATATCCATCATGATGCCATTTTTACTTTTGTGTGTTTGCTCTAAGAGGTGCCTCACATGAGTAGTCTGTGAATATGCTGGGCTGGGAGAAGCAGGCTAAATTTTCTGAGAACATCTAGTTGCTACAATAATGCAAATCCTACAGAGGATTTGAGTCTGAGGCAAATCCCAGTGCACCCCATTCAGTCACTGCCCAGGGTAGAGGCTCCAGGAAGAAAACACAGTTCCTGAAGACCTAGGGGTGGGTTAGTACCTGCTGACTTTCAGGGCCTCTGTCATGATTCTGAGGCAGCTTTTCAGGGCTGGCTCATAGGAGTTACAGAATTGGGTCATTAAAAAATGCTGGAAAAAGGGTTCGGGGAGGCCCAGAAAACTGTCATGTAGTTATTCTAGGCTGAGTGAGTTCCATGATTTACACAACCTTGTGTGGGAAATAAAACAGGAAATCTAAGGATTCAAAGGCAATTTTGTGAGTGTTAAAATTGTGCTGACAGACATTGCAGACCAGTCCTATGTTCCCCGGAGTTCCTTGATGATTTGTACCAGGAGGGGTTACTGGCAGTGGTTTTCTTGCCTTCTTTTTCCATTCTTCCTTTGGATTGTTCCTTTCAAAATTCGTCTTGATTTTCCTCTAGTTGAGACTTAAAATAGAGAAAGTAGGATTTGCTAGTGGAATTAAACTCATAAAAACTGGCAACCACAGTTCATACTTTCAGATCCTAAGCCTTCAGTGGGTTTACAGTTTCAGTGGAAGCCTTACATGTAAGATCACGGGAAGCCCATTAGTGACTTCTCTGGGGTTTCATTCCTTCAAAGCCTTTTTGTACTTTTTAAGTGTCAAATGCAGGCTCAAAAAGTCTTAGCTAGGGTAAGCACAATCTTTTAAAAATTAATTATAAATAAAAATCATAAGTTGTTATCTATAACAAAACAGTAATTTATTTATTTTTTCTGAATAGAGAGGGATATTTAGCATATGTGGCAGGAGTAATGTACAAGAAATTCAAAGTAAGTGAGAATTAGTATATACTAGGATTAAAGTTACCAATTTTTCTCATCTTTTAGTTTGCCCAAGTCCACCAGCTTAAATAACTGCAACAGAAGCGAACTTTGCCAGGCAAAACATTGAAAACTAAGACTAAAAAGTTCTTCCCAATTGACTTACCAGTATGTATAAAAACACACAGGATAGGGGCAGAACAAAACCCACATTTAAAAGACTTCTACCTAATTAAGCAGTCCTTGTTGCTAGATTTAGTAATCCAGGTAGCAATGCAGGATATCAAATCTCCTCAGGCTGATGAGTCTGTGTTTAAGTAAACAGAGGAATGGAAATCTTTTTCATTAGGCAGATAATCACCTGGAAGTCATTTATTACTAAACATTTTCCCCTTGATGGAATACTTATCATCAAAAAGTATTGTTTTTCAACAGGCCCTTTATTGAAAACACGATTATTTTACTCTTTGAGAGTGGTCTTTAGATGTTTCCCAGTAGTTCCTTCAAACCACCTTAATAGATACTGAGGAGAATCCTTCTCTTTAAGCCAAAGATAAGTTTATTATTAATCTAAAAAAAAAAAAAAAGCCTTCATTTAAACAGTTTTCTGTGTGTACTGTCAGTGAAGTAGAGACTATTTTTTGACTTACTTGTGCATGTGACCTGTAGATCTTCTCTTTAAATCCGGTAACAGAACCAAAAATATTGCCAGTTGGAAGGGAGTAATCATCTCTCAAATATTAGAATGGAAAAGGTCATTGAAAGTTATACTTTATGAGTTTATGAATACAATATAACTTTTGGGGTATGTAGTAGTTATCCATTTTGGATCATCGTTAACTGTTTTCGATGGAAAGTTGCTTGAATAGAAATGGCCCCTCTCACAGACCAGATTGTAAAGCCGTTGGCACTGGAATTCTTTGAAAGTTTTGCCTCTGCATTTAAATCTTTAGAGGTAGTCAGAGTTTTTGAATTTGGGAATGCTCAGGGAAACTTGTTCCACAAATGCAAACATGCAACAGCTCAACCTAAGGATTTTCCTGCAAGGTTATTGATAAACATACCTATGGTATTAATTACTTATAATTTATTGTTGCTATTTAGAATCATCTTACATTTCCACTTGCTTATCTCAGGGAGAATACAAATATTTGGGCACTTTATGACCTGTGACTTTCTATTATTCTAGTACAATCTGTAGTCTAGTTCCTTTCCCCCTTCTTGAGCAGGATGTTTCTGCTGACCTTCAGTGTTAGTCCTTTAGGTCTGGCCCTGGCTATAGAGCTGGCAGGCAGGGGTTGAGAGGTCAATCTGCCCAAGTGGAGGATAAATTTCTATCTATCTATCTATCTATCTATCTATCTATCTATCTATCTATCTATCAATCTTGTGCAGAGTCATAGCATCACCTTGGGTTTCGACATAGCTCAATCCACTCTTTACACCGTTGCCCTTGTCAGGATTCTCAGAAATCAGGAAGACTGTTGTATCTTAGTTACACACCCTGGATAAACTTGTGCAGTCACACCCAGGGGACAGTCAACCAATTAAAAGGGGCATTTGGGACAGAGTGATTATCTTAGGAGGTGGCATTGAGAACATTTTATCCTCTGGTGGGTCCATGGGAAACAAGTTCTTTGGGGTGGTGTCCTTGGGCACATTTATCACAAAGACCGGGTGTCACGCTGTAAAGTTAACTGAGGCCCAGACATGCACGACTCTGTTGCCCTGTTAGAGAGCCAGCAAGTGCTTTATGAAGTTCCCCAAACCTCTGCTCTTTCAGTTAGACACCAAATCCTGAAGCATATAAGGAACTTGAGAATTGAACCCTGGAATGTTAATGGAGAAAAAGAAACCAGGGTCTGGGAAAATGATCATTATCAATGCTGCCAGAGGCAAGCAGGCTTTTATTAGCAATTACTCACACCAGTTTCTCCTATTCCCATTTGAAGGGTGAACACATTGAGGGACATATAGCATCCAGGACTTGCTCAGGGTCAGAATATTTCTGGAGAGGTGGTGTTAACTTAATACCTTAAGTTTTATAATTTCTCTGTAAAAAATTAAATTGAGACACTGAGGGGCTCCTTAGGAATTGGATATAAGAGCTTATGAATTGTTTACTAACAGAGTCTCTGCTACTGCTGATTTTCCTAATTGCAGATGGAAAAAAGATAAGAAATTCTGTTCAGAGTTAAAATGGTTCTTCTAATGCTACAATCCTTTATATACTTAATTCAGTGGTTTAATTAAACAAATATTTTTTAATATTAGAACACACACACACGCACACACATGGCCAGTTACACGTATGCAGGCTATTTATTCTTTGAAATGGAAGACAGGATTTGTAATTCAAGTATAGATAGTAAAAGTTAATTTTAGCACATTGTAGAGTTCCCAGCAGTCTATATGAGAGGCAGTAAGAATTGAATACAGTTGTTTAAATTGTAAAGAGAGATTAGAAAGAAAGAAAAAAAAAGACGATAAAGAGAAAGAATGGATTTCTGTGAAATCTTGAGGCCACTCAGGTTCAGCCTTATATCATAGGGTATCTTAGAGCCTTTTGTTGTACAGACCAAATAAGGTGGCTTCTGAAATCACTGTCCACAGTCAATTAAGCAGGTACCATTGAT